TCATGGGAATGTCGAAATTATTAATATACGAATATGTTAAATAAAAAAGAGAAAATGAATAAATTTATATACGTTAGTTATGAATTGATAATAAATTAACAGACGCGAATGTGTTACAATAGTATATGTAATTTTTGTATCGATGTTTAAAATTTAAGGAAAAAACGTAGAAAATTTCGGTACACGTATGAAAGTAAAATCACATAAAAATAAAAAGTAATTGTTTATAATAAATTAATCTTTCTTTTGATTTTATCTTAACGTAAATTTATATATTTTTATATATAAATAAATAAAAATCGCTCCTAGAAATAGTAATAAAAAAAAAAAGCTATTATAACAGGACAAAGTCCTAATAAAACGAGGAAGAAAGAAGAAGAAGAAGAAGAAGAAGTAAATTTATATATAATATCTTAATGTGTGTCTGTATGTATGTATGTATGTGAAAGAAATATTGGAAGTTATATTTATCGATAATTATCAATTAATCGAAACGTAGGAATTTTCGATAAACGTGAAAGAGAGAGAGAGAGAGAGAGTGAGTGAGTGAGTGAGTGAGTGAGAGTATAAACGTAATTCAGGACAACGTGTTATCTATATTTCAGAATACTTCCCACTCCTCTTTGCAGTTATGTCATCGGTGACGTAGATGGACCCAGCCTCCGAGTCTGGTATTGATTTCGTGACGTCACTAACACACAGAGACAGACATCCCACACGCAACAAGCAAACATCTTGTTCGATTCTGTTTCTTCCGATTATGTATATATGTAAAACACCTACTTCTATTACGTAAGTCTTTTCACCTTTAACATTTATTCTGAAAATGATTTTTAATATATATATATATATATGTGATGTATTCGATAAATAATTGATATACGTAGTTTCTCTTAATTTAATTCATACTTTTATTTTTTCACGCACAACATTTATTCCCGTATTTATATTACAATTTTGTGTTATTTACAATATATTAATTAATGCAAAAACAAATTAAAAATTGTCGACGTTGTTTTAAGATTAAATATTTTTTATCTTGTTGTGTTGTTTTTTTTTTTTTTCTATTAATATTATTTCATTCTCATATAAGATTAATATATTTCGAAATATCTAATCTTTTATTTGTTGTTGCGTTTTATTTCGTGGTTCTTTTTATAATTGATTGCAAAATATACGTCAAAAAATGTCGATGTTTTGTTAACGTAATGAGTTTAAGATTTTTTTATGTGGAAGAATGATTTTTCGAAAGTAATCTTATTATAATACAAGGCATATATATATAACGTCTTGACCTTGGATGACGATAGTTCAACGGCCGACAAATGATAGAAATGTTAATTATCAAATATCCTAGATTACCGATGTATTTTCTCTCTTTCTCTTTCTCTCTCTCTCTCTCTCTCTCTCTCTCTCTCTCTCTTTCTTATTCTTTTTCTTTATCTGCTTATAAATAACTTACAATTAGACAAAAATTCTTGTACGTAAGATTTGTTCGAAAAAACTCCATAAAATATTAAAAACATGTTATTTTCTACCATTGACGTAATCAATTTATAGCGAATAAACAAAAAAATAATCCAAATAATTATCGATAAAATTGTTTAAAAAACGTTTTTTTAAATATTTATTACATTAAAGTTTTCATCTGAACTTTGTTATTTTTAATAAGTCCATACATTAGATTGGATGATATGACAAAATTAGCTTCATTATCGTAATTACCAATGGATAATAATGTTATTTTTAAGATGATCGATTTAAAGTCATAAAAATAGAGAGAAAACAAGTCATAATTATCTAATTGACATTACGTCCTATCATTGTCCATAATAATTATTTTATTTACAATACGTATACTCGTTTTGATTGTTATAAAACAAAGAGTATCTTTATTTTAATCATAATTTTTAAAAAGGATATTTTATTTAAAATTTTATTATATATTCACTCTTAAGAGGAATCTTTTACGTTGTTAAATAATTATTTAATTTTATAACTAATATGAAATTTTTCTTTAGTAAAAGACCGTATTAATTCTCTTTTATATGAGGACATATCATACCCGTATGTATAAATATACGAGTATGATATATATATACACTCAAAGAAAAGGGATATTCTGATTACGTCTAACATAAGCCAGTGGTGTATTGCAAGTGAAACCTCAACTGGTCTATCATGGTATCTATTCATCTATTAACGTTTGTATATTGAGACAGAGAGAGAACATTTCAGAATATAATTATATAATCTTTTTTTAACGAGTTTATTTGAATATTTTCTAATATAGAACATTTTTACAAGCGTATTATTAAAATTTGTGATTTTTATTAATCGCACTTTTTAATTAATTAATTTCCTTTCTATATCGTCTTAACGTTTATTAGGCTAGAATATTTCTAACGAAATCCTATAATATTTTTTTTGTATTTGTTATAACAAATTTTTTATTTAAATTCGACAATGTTTTTATTCAGATTTTCGATCGTTTATGAATATTCATTCGAATTATAATTATTTTTGAGGTCATTATTATTGCCAACGTTGTACGAAAATTCTTTCGAAGGACTCGTCGTTAAAACTTGTCAGGATTATTTCATCAGACCTTTCTGTTTGGATTTGTAAAGAAGGAACCGTACACCTGGCCAGATTGTAGAGAAAGATTTTGAGATGGGAAGAAAACCGATGTCTACGTTTCTCTCTCTCTCTCTCTCTCTTTTTTTTTGTTTCTTCTCTATGTGTGTATCCTCACGTGCTCTTTTATACCATGACCCTCTTTTCACTTTTAACCAATAGAAATACTTTCCATGGACCCTGGTTCCAGGTGTACGTTTTCGCATCCTTTATTATTCGACGATCTTCTAAGCAAAATTCTTTCAACAATAATTATAAGTAAAATGTATTATTTTTATATAACTTGTTTGTTTTTTAAATATGAAACAAAAAGATTACGATATATCATGTAAAAATTTTAACACGTAAGATTAATACAAAATTGTTTAAATATATAAAATATAAAAATGTAGATAAATATGTGTATATATATATATATATTTTTTTTTTAATTATTCCAAAATTATTTTTCCAATATGACAAATGGAAAAAGGAAATATATTTTTTGTTAGTTTATTTTTTCCAATTTTAAGAACAGTATTCATAATGATTAATTGATATGCGTATATATATATATGTATGCGTATAAACGTTTTGTGTACTTCATTGATTATGATTACGAGAAAGTACCGCGCGGTAAACTCAATGACGTGTTTTCTGATTATTCCTTTAACTACAAATCCAAGTAGAACTGACGATAAAGGAAACTTGAAGTAAATCTTTTTTTTTCCTTAGATTTATAACGATGTCACGAAGTTGTAAAAGGAAATGGGAAGAACACTTCTCGGAAACGTGATATACTTATACAAAGGCAATTAACGAAACAATTTACACGTATGACGTTTTTAAGTTTCTAATTTAAAAAATTTTTATGAGATAATTACTTTTTCTTTATATATATATATATTAAATAATATATTAAAATAATAGATATGTCCCAATTAAATTTATAGAAAAAAATATGATCACATATGTATATATTTAAATAAATAAAATTTAAACCTGTAATTTTTACTGATCAATAAGTTTTAAGATTCAAATCGATAATAATCACTGATCGATAAATTCAAATTTAATTGCAATCATATGACAAATATACTCAATCAATAAAATCTTAACAAAAATTCGTATGAAAATAATTCGAACTTATTTTGACGAATTATTTAGATCATTTGTGTTAATTGAAATTATATACATAATACTTTTTTTTTAATCCTGATATATAATAGCGTTGATTTATAGTTATTAATTAAACAATGAATAAAATTATGTTAGAACCACGAATTACGTTAAAGTATTCTATTAATAGCCAATGTGTTGATTGACGCGTCAACTTGTTTAAATCGATTCTATGTGTGTTGGGTCTAACATTTTTATCGTAATCGATCGTAGTGTTGGTCGAAACTGATTACGTATAAATCAATCGTATAACGCCTATCTTGACAATTTGATTCCTTCAATCGTGTTCGAAACTTTAATAACAATAATAACTAATTTATGCGAATGTTCGTTCAATGAACGTCTCCGTATGCTTTTTTTTGCCTTTTCTTTTTCTTTTTCTATTTTTGTATTCATACACCGTTACGGATCATTGATTTTGTCATTGTTTCATTTGTATATTATCTTTAAACAAATTTGATAAAAGTGATTTAAAAAATAAATAAAAAATAAAATAAAAGAATATATTTTTATGATCGTGATAAGATTTTATACCTTATGTACAATATTATTATATATATATATATCTATAGTTATCTAAAAAAATGAAATTGTAATAATAAATTATTTATTTTGTTATAAAATGTTTCCTTTCTTTCCACTTATTTTTTTATTATATTCTTACAATATATATATATATATATACACATATTTATTTTAAATACAAATAAGTATTTTGTACTTTCAACACATTAAGATTAAAAATATATTTTTACGTACAAATAACGACTTTATACTTTCAACTTTAATATAAGATTAGAAAAAAAAGAAGAAACAAAAGTAAATAAAACTCATATTGTCAGAATGAATAATACAAGAATAAATTTATAGATACGTTAATCTAATTCTTCTTATATTAAATCGATTAAATAAAATTTAGAATATGTTTAAACAATATCTTAACATTTCGTAGCAATATTAGCTTTAGCCCTCTCCAACAAAAATTAAGATTTACGATTAGAGAAGGGAAAAAAGGGAGAAGGGGGGGAAGGGATAGAAAAGGTTTCACATGTTCTTTCCTTTTTCTCACATTTATTTCAAGTTCGAAAGTGTCATGCGGTATATAGGTTTGTATTATAAATGTATAATACTCACACATGCGCACAGACACGTTAGTCACATAGGAAAGTGAGGGTAATACCTAAACGCGGAACGGCAATGGCAACGGCAGCAACCTCGTTCGAAGAGAAACCCAAAGACGGATCACTCAGAGCTCGACCACCGTGCCGCGCATAACTGCTTCCTGTTTTTTCACTCACTATCTTTCTCGTGTTGTTGTTGTTATTGTTGTTATTGTCATATTATTTCGTCTAAATCTCACACCGTCTATTTTTTATAACAAAATTTTAATATACCTTTCATCGTTTCTGTCATTGATTTTTTTTATACGACGAAATAATTGTTCAAAAAGGATAACGTGTATCCGGTTATTTTTTTTGTTCGGTTGGTGTTTTGTGAAACTATGATAGTTCATCAAGGATATCGAAGTATTTAGTATTATTCTATAATAAATGAAATTAACCCTTATCCCGAGATAAGGGAAAACGATTAACAGATCACATCGAGGAATTGTCCTTGGATTATATTATTATCCGTAAGTTGTTTTGTTTTATCCTTTTTTTTTTTTGTTTTCATTTTTCTTTCGTTCATCGAGAATTATTTCAAGTATTTAGGATACGAAAAAAGATATTAATTTTGATCGGGTAGAGAAAAATAAAAAAGAAATGATTATTATTATTACGCGTCGATGGGGAATTTATATTAAGAATTTTTTTTCTTTTTTTTTTAATTTTTATTTGATAATTATTTTTCAAAGTTTTCTGTGATCGTAATATGTTGCGTTATATTAAGATAAAAAATAACTTTGGCTAATTGGTGATTACGCTTAATGTGTTACAATTAGAGATAGTTAGGGTGCATTATCATGGTGTATATGTATGGTTTTTTTTATTTTCATTTTCTTTTCACGTGAATTTTATTCCGACTAGGTATTCGGATTTGCGTCAACGTGCGTGCGTGCGTGCGAGCTATGATCACGTTATCGTATTCGTACCGTTTTCTTTTTTTTTACGCTGAGATTCTTGAATGAAAATTTACGCGTGTTGAATCGTTATTAGATTTAATCGTGTTTATTTGGTTCCAAGATGTCAAAAATCTTGTTTCATATCGATTATTTTCATTTTTGTTTGTTCAAAATGTATTAAGTATCTCTAAATGCGCAGTATGGCTGACCTTTCTAGGTGTATATATGTGTGTGTGTGCGTGTTTTTTTGTCGGTATCGAAGTGATCAATTAAAATGAAAGTTATGTTACTTTGATTTATTTTTTGATTCATTTTTTCATTCACTTTTTTCTTTTTTCCTCCCCCCCCCACTCTCTCTCTCTTTCTCTCTCTCTCTCTCTGTTTATTTCTTTACCTTTCTCTTCTTAGCATTTTTACTGATTGTCAGATTAAATTTATTGCTTATCGGCTAAATCATGTTTCATGCAAATCAAGAGAACGATGAGATATACAAAGTCGTCATATAGTCATAAATTATTATTCGTTTAGATAAGTGGTATTTATTTTTTTTACTTGATAAAAAGAGAAGAATGTTTAATTTTACATTAGTATTTTTATTTTTATACTTGATTCTCATCATTGAGCACACTCTTGATCTTATTTTTTATTTTATACAATTTTTTATTAAAATCATTTACAATTAGAGATAAGAAAGAAAATATAGGGAGAAAATAATAAATCGATTAATTTTATACTTTTTAAATATTTTTATATTATATCAACGATGTTTATGTGGTAGTACGAATTTTGTGTTTTCAATTGCAATAAAGATCTCGTTAAAATGAAAAAGATGAATAAAAATGTGTAAACTTTCGATTTATAGTATTCTCAAAATCCATTTATTTCAGTTTCGTAATCTTTTATAATATTCATGCTGCTATAAATATTACTATGTGATTTACATGAATTAGGAAAAAATGCGACAGGCACGTGCCAAGGTCTAAATCGTTTTTAATGGTTTAACAATTTCATTACTTTTTGGACAAACTAATAAATAACAAATTGCATATTATTTGGAAACGTTTTTTGTGCATAAAACTAAATAAATTTACTACTTCATTAGTCACGTTTTTATATGTGCATATAATTATGCTTACACCTGTACTAAATACTAATTAAAGAAACATTAATTATGCAATACACAAATATGATAAAAAGTTTTATATTTTTAGCATCTTTAATGTGAAAATATATGCATGTAAACTATCTCAAAAAATATGATTGAACGTATTTTTTTTTCCCCTGTATACGCATATATTTTATTACACAAAGTGTTTTGTACAATTGCATTTGAGTCTCATTAGGTTGTCCTAATTTTCTTTAAGAAAAATATATCAATTTTATTAACAAAATGAAATAATACAAATTTTCGTTAGTTTTTTCATAAAATTAAATCTGATGCGTGTACGTGCATCGAATTTTTTTCATTTTAGTTATATTTTATTTGTTTTTTTTTTGGGGGGGGGGGGGGGGGTGTTTTTTGCTTATAATTGTTAATATAATAAATCACGAGGGTTGAACTTTCTCGTTAAGGAAAGCTGGTTGGGAAAATCCGGTCGGCGACCCACGTGGCCTATTGATTTTCTTGTCCGCCACGCCACTTCCACTTCACTATGCTCAATGGTGGAAAACTGGCCTCCTCGCGTTCACTTAAATGTCTAGAGAATATCACGTTCCTCTGTTGGTATTCTTTTGTACGAGAAGAGAAAAAGATTTTAATTAAGAAGGCAAAAAAAAAAAAAAGAAATGGAAAAAAGATTTAAACAAAATACCGATTCAAACGATTCCAAGCATATTTTTCTAACAAATTTTTTAATTAGAAAAAAAAATGGTTTTAACGAAATATTTCAAATTATTTCATTCGTCGATACAATTTCTACAACAAAAATTCGATCATTGTAATAATATATTAACTGTAACAACGAATTGAACTAATATTGAATTTATTTTAGTGAAACATTCTTAACTTACAATTCGATTACTTTCGTTATCATCTCATTTATATACATAACAGGTGTCCTACTTTAATTCTATCGCCTTAAATATAATATATTTGTTACATTCTGTAACGCGAGAGGAAAAAATATGTTGACGTTACGCGAGTGTACATTTTTTGTTTCTTTTTTTTTTTTTTTTAACTTAAAATTAATACGAATTATTTATGCGAAATTATTTGACACTTCAATCGCGTTCGAAATAAATTCATATCATTTTAATAAACGTAAAAATATTATTGAAGTATATACGATACGAATGATTATCGAAACTGATACATTTTTGTTTATGTTTAAATTTAATCGTTTTTTAAAATTCGACAAATCAAACTTTATTTTAAGTATCGGACATTCTCTTTGCAAACAGATCGATGACAATGTGTCTTTGCTCTTTTCGTGAGTACCTTAAGTACAGTTCATGTCGTACGTGGGTCGTTGGCGCTGATGTTAGCCTAAGATCAATAAAAGTGATGTAACATTTGAAGGGAGTTTCGTATGCCGTTCGTGTTTCATCCATGATTACAAAATGAAACACCCTTACTAACATACCGAGAGATTTAATCATACCGAGAAATATAATATATTGCAATGCAATCCTTTTTTTCTTTGACCAATTTAAAATAGTTAGAATAATTTATGAATCAACAGTATCACGCGTGTCATCGAACATATTAATATTATTATTTTCAGATAATAATACCCTATACGGTATCCTGAACAAGTATTTGAGTGATTTGTCATTATCTTACAATTAGATAACATATTTATACTTCCTAATTTTTTTATTAATCTAGTGATGATTAATATATCACGTTTATCGTATATCAAAAAATAGATATTCAAATAATTATAGATAAATGATATTTCGTATCTTCGAATATGTACATTTTATTTTTTTAGTAAAACGTATAATTTTACGATATTACAAACAAATATTTGAAAAGAAAAAAAATCAAACTGTTCTCGTCTTAATACCACATCTGACACGTTAACTCATTATAATTTATCAAATTATTTACATATTTTAATCGATGCTATATCTCTTTACATATATCTTATAACTTCAGAGAGATAATTATATATATATATATATATACTCACAATATACACACATATAAGTCCTCTCATAAATCAGTATACAAATACGTATGTACATGCAGCTTTAACGCATACATATACAAATGACATTTTCACACGCTACCAAATCTTTAAATGCTATTGTATATAAGATATAATAGGAAAGCATACACGTGCATACGACACACATATACACTAACATAGTTTCTAAACAAGCATGGTAAAGCTATACAAGAGGGAGAGAATGAGATTCAAAGAAGCCATACGTGTACCAGACTGACGCATTAGGACTACGAATTAGGGAACGTCAAACTCGTATTTTCCCATGACGAAAGTTCTTTTGTAAAATTATTACTTCAAATTGTATACTTTCAAAATTATTCATTATATCTCACATTCGATATTTTTATTAAATAGTTATTAAATGCGTTGGCAAAAATTATCATATTAAAATCATGTATTTTATATATGCCTGTTTTAGTTTAATTTAATTTAATACTGTCTAAAATGAATAATTTATTATTTGCTATATTTATAAATATGGACGTCAATAAATTTCATTCGAGTGAATCGGACAAGTAGGATATAGAATTAAAATAAAAAAAAA